AGAGCAGCCAATGGGTCTTGAATATCTTTGGGGGGGTGCAAACGATACGGGGAGGCCAGGCAAAGCTGAGTGACATGTTGTTGAAATATACTAATTTAATTATAAGAAAAAATTCATTTTATTTGCATTGCCCAATAGTGATGCTTAAAAGGGTCGTCCTATCCATGATCTTATATTTTGGGGATTTAATGCGCACCCAGCAAAGTTGCGCAGTGAAAGCTCAGTCTCCTGGTTCGTGGGTTGCTATGCCAGAATGCAGTACTAGTTTCCCGGCCAGAGTGAGTTGACAAACTTGTTTCCAAGCGAGATCAAACGGCACTTTTTTCTTGCCTCTGTTCAAGAGGCAACCATGTTTTGTGGTCAGCATGCATCCGCTTCTTACGAGGAGTCGGAGAACTTGAGAGCAATTTTGCCGACAATTGAAGGGCGAAAAAGTTTAAGTTTAAATTTACTATCATTCGCTTCAAACTGCTGTCCAATTACCTTCTCCTTTCGGCAGTCCTAGCGAGACATAAACGGTTGTTGTGACCCGTTCAGAAGCCAAATATTCTCGAATAAAGGACTACTCACAACGCTTAATTAGGATGCAGCCTTCATTTTTGTGAAATTGTTCAAATAAAGTGTTTTCAAGTTAATATTAACGCAAATCGAAGGCGAATATTTGTTGCTCTGCCGTCGATTGGAGTAAATAAAGTAAATAACTTAAAAGGGATACTAAGGTTATATGGGAATTTATTAATAGTTTTTTTTCTGTTAGCATAGCTAGTGACTTAGCTCTATTAATTGGTTAATATGAGACTGAGTGTTATATAAATTGAATGGTTGAGCTTATTTCGATTGTGAGGGAAATAGTTTTGTGAAGAGGTTCGTGGGCAAATTTAACTCGACAATGGATCCTCATGGTTTGTTGTTGTCGTTTACTTATTCTGTGGGGTTTGGGCTCAACCAATAGCTCTTAACGCTGATCAATATACATACTATTAAATATTTTATTTCTAGGAGGTATAAAGCGTTTTGTTCGTCTTTGCTTATATTTATATTAGCCTATTCACACTTGTTTGCCGATGTGTTCGTGTGGTGAGAAGTTCCAGTGAGCTTTCCGAGTAATTAAAGCAGAGCGCGCTATCTATCTTATGTAATCAAGTTTCATTTCAGGGGATTAGTATTTTTGTAATTAGATATGGTTTATAAAGTAGAGCCGACTAGACTTGTTGACCAAGATTTGCTTAAGGTTATTGTGGGAAGAAGCTACAATTCCGATGTTATTTGTCCAGTCAAATAATACACGAAAATTTAAGTAAGTATTTGAGTAATCCATTAAATTACGCTTATCCTCGCCTTACAAAAGATAAAGTTAATGACATCATAATGCCTACTACTATTTTCACTGTAGAAAAAAATTGAACCATCAATCCTTAAATCAACTTAAGCAAGAGTGCTCCAGTAAATCCAACTTAACCAACTGTGGCCGACTTAAGTTCTTCTTCAACAATTACTAATAATCTTTTTTCGTCAAGGTGCCTCGAAGACTGCGTGTATTCTAACGTCATTTACAACACATGAGTAAATAATAAAATAAAACCCTTCATTTTCCGATGACTTCGACCAATGAATCTCTTTTGCATTCACTTTTCAACCGAATAAGGTAAGAGATTCATGGGTTAGTCTAATTGAAACTACATAGATTTCCTGAAATCTATGCTATCTTTCCACAACTGTTTAGCACACATTGGGTCAAAGGATCAGCTTCAATTGTGTAAGAATGTATCACGTCCACGATTCAACTTTGGAAATGATCATGCAGACAATGGACTCCGGACTAGGTGCGTTGCTTTAAGTCTTCCTACCAATATGACCAAGTTGCGAAAGCAAGGTCAAACAACCTCTATATGATATAATGTTAGTCACAAACCTTACTTGTAAGCAAAATTCCGTTCCCTGTCCTATTCATATGCTTGAGGCAAGACTCGGATCCATCGTCTCTCTGTACATTTGTCACTTATCTTGTATGAACATGTGAAGGAGCGTAAAATCGAGACGAAAAATTTTCCTGACTTGGGTCCGTGTGCGAAGTTTTTTGTGTCTTCAGATGTTGCGAAATGCATTGCCCAAAACTCGACAAGCTTGCTGTCCTGAATATTCTAGACAAAAGTCAATCAATTAGATGTAGAAAGTCTTGATTTACTCAAAACACTCTGCTGCATTAGTTTATTTTGACAATTTAAAGAGATGTAGAAATGGGGTGACTTCGCTTTCGCAACTTGGTCTTGCTTTCAGGAAGACATGCTCGAACGCATCTTATCCGAAGTCATCTGCTATGGTTGTTAGCATAATTGAGTTTCAGCATGGTGCTGAGAATGAATGGCAAGACTGATTGATGCTGCCAACTGCGATGCCGGCGAAAAGTCTGATAATGTACCAAGCCGGGAATTACGCTAACTACTCTAGCAGAAGACTTCGGACACGGTGCTTCCAACCAAGTCGTCTTGACAACACAACCAGGTTTGTGAAAACGAGGAGACTGGAATCATACCAAAGGCTCCACTATATTGGTTTTTATAGCTGCGAATAATGAGGTGTGCTTATCGGTCTGCTGTTAAAGATAACACTTTTGACAGTTCTCTTTTATTTTCACGTACCTTACTTGCACTCGACGAGAGCACTGTTGTCCAACAATCCAGGGCTGCCTTTGATTGGATAGCCACAAAGTCGTCCTAAGGGAACACCAAGTGTAGCAATTGCAGGCGCATTGGTTGTCACGACCTCTTCATCTTTTGCCACTCGAGGATGTACATACCCTGGGGCTGGTTGCACTCAGACCAGCTCTCGTTCAAAAAGCCTTACTGAGGTCACCGCTTCTGTAAATCCTCGAGGTCATGGCAACTAGCAGAGGTTGGAGAGATAAGGGACGCCTTTTGCTGTAGGCACTTACATCAGGTCTGTCCAGAAGGAAGTGAAGAGCAGCTGACCAATATAAATGCTGAGAAAAAACGGTTTTTGTCCAATCTGTTGGGATATCAATCCTGACTAGACTACTTTATTGTGTAAGATCTCGCAAGAGACAATTGTCAATTCCCCTTGGTCGGCTGTCGCATGAGTTTTCTGCATTGCAGAATGAAACTAATGAAATTCCTTATGTCTAAAAAATATCATTAGGCCTTGATGGTCATTAGGACAGAAATGTATGCTCTCTTCTGATTATGTTACATTATCTCCATGGTTGCGTATCTCCGCCCATGCATAAAGGCGCAAACACACATATTTGTACAGTAATACAGAACTATAAAGCTGAGAAATAACTAAGTCTTTCCTTTTTATCGTGTCTCAAAAATATTAATATGAGATGCATTCACCCAATTTCGTTTAAGATGATAAAGGACCGGTAGAAGAAGAATTTCCCACAATGATATGAGTTGAACTGACGTTTCCAATCAATTTTCACA